TCGTGTACCCCTCTGCACCGTGCGAGTGGGTGGGCTCGTAAGTCATCCTGCTCTTCCACTGCACCCAGCGCCATCGAGGACGGTTCCTGGAGCTTCTGAGGCGGTAAGAATGCTTCAGTAAGCACCCAGAAGGCTGAACTGTGGTTGCTATGAGCTTGGCCATGGGTTTTGGCGTGATCCACCTGCGGCTTTGGCGAGGCTGTGTGGAGCCTGGAGTGGCTGTATCCCGAATATCGGCGTGGGCTTGCGCGAGGCTCGGTGTCACAGCTGCTGTCTCACTGGACCGGGGTGCGTTAGAGGTTGCACCCGTGCTTTGGTGAGGTGTCCAACCTCCTGGTTGCAGGTTGGAGTTGGTGCACACGTGGCCGCTGCTCGTCGATGCCTTGCTTTGTCGTGTCTGTACTGTGTGGAAATAACTTGGGCAATGTGGTCAAATTAGTGAGTGTCTGTGTGAGCATACCTTCCTATAAAAGTGCAGTTTCCATTAAAAATTATGAAAATGACCAACTTTCTTTACAATTTATGATTTTTAAAATAATTTGTTTTCCCCACAGTTGAGAAAAATGGTTTTGTGGAGTATGCCCAGCGTGTGGGAACTACAAAGTCGCTGGGACCACCAAGAGGACCGGAGGAGAGGGCAGCATTTAGCACGCTGATTGCCAGGGCTGTAATTAGAAGCGAAATGGTACCAGTAGCCAGTGAGACTTCTCCTTTGGGTGATGGTCGGGAGGACTCTGGAAAGGCGAGAGGAGCTTTGGTGGTGTGCTGGTAAGAAGACCTGGGGAACTGGCTGGATGGTGGGTTGAGCCTGCCCGCAGCTCAGCGTTGGTGCTTCTCCATCACTGGTGGAGATGCCCGGTCTGTGTGATGCTTACCAAGAGTCTCTGATGGCTTTTAGCATCTCCGTCCTCTTCCCTGTGGAGTGGGAGATGTGGGAGAGTCCGGGTCCAGCAACCTTAGGCCAAGGGTACTTGTCGGGCGGCACTGGTGTCCCTTTTAAAGCGAGCCTTTCTGAATTTGTGAAGGTAAAAGCTAACTCTCCTCGATGCACCGACCTGGGAGCCTTCAGGCCTCTGGAGACAGCCAGAAAAGCTGCGCCGTCATCTTGAACGTCAAACTGCCGGGGCTTTTTCTTCCTTACATCATTTCACTGACTAATTCCGGCTGTGGATTTGCCAGACAGGGATCAAAGAAGCAGGGAGATAAAAGCCTTACATCCAACGACCGACGAGCAGTCAGTCATCCTCGTGTTTTGGTGGGGTGCGCTGGGATGCTGCATTCCAGTGGAGGTGTTGGTGGGAGCTGTGCCTGCTCCACCGGCGTGCAGGGCAAGGCGTGTCACAGAATCACAGAATAGTAGGGGTTGGAAGGGACCTCTGTGGGTCATCTAGTCCAACCCCCCTGCCGAAGCAGGGTCACCTACAGCAGGCTGCCCAGGACCTTGTCCAGCCGGGGCTTGGATATCTCCAGCGAAGGAGACTCCACAACCTCCCTGGGCAGCCTGGGCCAGGGCTCCATCACCCTCAGAGGGAAGAAGTTCCTCCTCATGTTCAGACGGAACTTCCTATGCCTCAGTTTGTGCCCATTGCCCCTTGTCCTGTCACTGGGCACCACTGAAAAGAGCTTGGCCCCATCCTCCTGACCCCCACCCTGCAGATATTTGTAGGCATTTATAAGGTCCCCTAAAGTGTCCATACTGCATCGACGCGCAGCCACCGCTGCTGTCAATACCCGGACTAATATTCTAGGTTGCTGTCTTATTTCTCAAACTGGAGTTAAACCTTACTGGGGCAGTCCTTGTTTTATGAATACTCGAGCCTTGGGGAAGTTTGCTGCTGAACTTGAAAGTATTTTCCATACCAGAGAGATGAGGTAACATCATGAGATGTTACTGGAGCTACTGTGCTTGGCAGTCCTCCGCGAGCAGCCTGGGAGGAAGGTTATGGAAATTATGTTGATTTTAGGTACCTCTTATCTGTGTAATATCTTGAGGAGTTACTTCTGCTGTCTCCACAGGCATTAAACAGCTTCCTTCCATCAGGTCACCAGAAACTGACCCCTCCACCCAGATTTCCATGTTGGGTAGCTCGTTCCGCTGGTCCATGTCTGCTCTCTGGAAATCTTTTTGGTCAGCTGGGAGCCTGACAGGCTTCCGGGTAAGTCCTGCTGACCGTCTCGCTATTTTGAGCTGCCCTGATGAGATCATCATGGATTAGTGCTCACATTGGTTTCCTCCCTTTCCCGAAGTCATCCCTTGCTGTTCTGCTGGTGGTGGTTTGTGGAGCCACCTTGACACAGTTGTACAATAACCTACTTTGGGCGAATAAAACCGCGGCGCAAGTGTTCCTTCTGCAGCGCCGCGCAGTCACTGCCGTTATTACAGGGACTAAGACTGTATGTCCACCGAGCACAATTGCAATGATTTGTCATTCTTTTCAGTTGCTTAATCATTTACACACTAGTCTGCTCCAGGTCCAGGTCTTTGGAAACTCAGGCCTTAGCTTTTCATTAGCGTCGTG